TTTTTTTATGAAGACAACAGAAAAGCCTGCATACACAGGTTTCCACTCCTTGGCATGTCAAAGACAAAACCTCCTCTTTTTTCGCTTTCTGAGAGGCGAGGGCTCTTAGAAGCAGAGTGGGGTAGCAGAAGCCAGGAACAACCACACACTGGCAAAGCTGTCAATAACTGCTTTATTTAAACGTTGCACATGTGAATGGTGAAGTAGCAGAGATTTTAGCGAGGTAGCAGAGATTTTCGGCTTAGTAATAGGTATATTTTAAGCACATGGATCAGCTGTAGCTCGCTCGGTAGCTTATTCTTAGCTCCGCTTTCATGGCTGGTTAGGTTGCAAATCTGCTAATGGATCTGTGCCGAGTTTCCATGTTTGATAAGCGTTACAGTTGACGTCTGGGAACCGGTGCTAGAAAATGGCGAGAAAGAGCCAATGGTTCATAATGGCTATGGTTCTTCCAAAATAACTCTAACCGAAGCCTTAAATGCAATCAACGAAGCTGCTTTTGAGAGGACCAGGTGAGCTTTTTCAGAGAATTTGATAACCAGTTCCCTTTATGATAATCAAGATCGTGTAGAGCATCGACATAGAGTCCTCGATTTTTACCAAATGTGTCAACATGAGCAATTTTATTATCATTGTCATCATTACTATTACTTTGTCATCATGGTGGTAGTAATGATGGCAAACTCCAGTATTCCATCCTTTGCTAATATTACTTATATCACTATCTCACATTAAAATCATTACACTTCCTGCTATTGTTATTTTGTTATTATAATTATTACTATTCTATCCCTACTTCTAGCTTTATTACCCAAAGCAATATTTATTCAATTAAACTGAGGAACACGCATGCGCTTTACACATAACTTTATTTAGCAACTTGGTTTTCATATGCAACATATCTGTCCTCCTTCTCCCGACTGCACTTCTCTCCTTATGAAACAAATAACTTTTCAAGGTTAATAAACACTTTTCTTGTCAAAAAATAAAATCAGCTTCATATTTACTTCCTTTGAGAGGCGAATACATACAAAAGTATTTTGAGAGTAACAAAGTGTTTCGAATATTTCGAGAGTTCTAAGAACAAGCACTCGCTGACAAGACTGCCGTTGACTCGCCTTTTCGATGACTTAAAATCAAGTTCAAATCGGAATTAACTTCCTGACATGCACAGTATCAGTTGTCGAAATGAATAAACGATTCGTAGAGGGACTGGCTCTCTCACCGGTAGATCATTGAATCGAAACGCTTCTCCCCATTGCTATGCTCCACTAGCACTATTTTTGTATCCCCGATAATCAAAAATATTCACAGATAAGTTATTTATCCAGTGATCCAGTGTGCCTCCCATGTTCTACCCATTTCTCTGCTTTTGCGATAGAAACACACGGTCCCGACAAAATTTTTTCAGCTGGTAACCAGCAAAGTGTTGTTAATGAATCTCTACGAAACTCTCTGATTCGGATCTCTAGAAATGTACTGTATTAATTGGTATGTGTATAGGTATCCGTTATTCATACGACTGGAACTCCATCTCGATATTGAATGGCAGCTGGTGCTTGTCAATTTACTCTGCGAGGTTTTCGGAAATAAGCTTTATCGGCCACGCAGCGACCCCGTGGACTGGGTGAACGGGCAGCGCCGACCAACACCTAAAGACTTCCAGATGAGGATTATTCTTGTGGTAAGTCTTCTTCTGAGCTATGAAAGTGCAATGTAAAATGCAGGATGGGCGATCTGTACTTAACACTTTCAGTGCCAGCACCCCATTTTCC